AAAAATCGATTTCGGTCCCGAAATACGGTATGGATGACAAAATGGCCCGGAAAAGCCCCTAAACGTCAAAATTTGGTGTCGAAAAAAAAAACAATGGCACGAAGACCCATTGCCCATTGCCACTCTCGAAGGGCTATCTTTGGGCTTTCCGAAAAGGTATCACATGTCGAGTTTGGCCTCACGGTTTAAAAGTTATGGCGTTCCGAAGGTGATAAGTCATACGCAAAAAAAAAAAAAAAAAGAGGGATGCAACACGAGGACTTCCCGGGAGGTCACCCATCCTAGTACTACTCTCGCCCAAGCACGCTTAACTGCGGAGTTCTGATGGGATCCGGTGCATTAGTGCTGGTATGATCGCATCCGTTAGTATATGCAATGCAATCGCATTTATCCTTTTTGCGGACTCTAAGAATCATTCGCCGTGGGTCCCACCTGCTACGTGGGCCTCACCAGCTAGTCCTAAGGAGCTTCAAGACATGGAAAATATGCGCAAACAATGTCTTAAAAATCGATTTCGGTCCCGAAATACGGTATGGATGACAAAATGGCCCGGAAAAGCCCCTAAACGTCAAAATTTGGTGTCGAAAAAAAAAACAATGGCACGAAGACCCATTGCCCATTGCCACTCTCGAAGGGCTATCTTTGGGCTTTCCGAAAAGGTATCACATGTCGAGTTTGGCCTCACGGTTTAAAAGTTATGGCGTTCCGAAGGTGATAAGTCATACGCAAAAAAAAAAAAAAAAAGAGGGATGCAACACGAGGACTTCCCGGGAGGTCACCCATCCTAGTACTACTCTCGCCCAAGCACGCTTAACTGCGGAGTTCTGATGGGATCCGGTGCATTAGTGCTGGTATGATCGCATCCGTTAGTATATGCAATGCAATCGCATTTATCCTTTTTGCGGACTCTAAGAATCATTCGCCGTGGGTCCCACCTGCTACGTGGGCCTCACCAGCTAGTCCTAAGGAGCTTCAAGACATGGAAAATATGCGCAAACAATGTCTTAAAAATCGATTTCGGTCCCGAAATACGGTATGGATGACAAAATGGCCCGGAAAAGCCCCTAAACGTCAAAATTTGGTGTCGAAAAAAAAAACAATGGCACAAAGACCCATTGCCCATTGCCACTCTCGAAGGGCTATCTTTGGGCTTTCCGAAAAGGTATCACATGTCGAGTTTGGCCTCACGGTTTAAAAGTTATGGCGTTCCGAAGGTGATAAGTCATACGCAAAAAAAAAAAAAAAAAAGAGGGATGCAACACGAGGACTTCCCGGGAGGTCACCCATCCTAGTACTACTCTCGCCCAAGCACGCTTAACTGCGGAGTTCTGATGGGATCCGGTGCATTAGTGCTGGTATGATCGCATCCGTTAGTATATGCAATGCAATCGCATTTATCCTTTTTGCGGACTCTAAGAATCATTCGCCGTGGGTCCCACCTGCTACGTGGGCCTCACCAGCTAGTCCTAAGGAGCTTCAAGACATGGAAAATATGCGCAAACAATGTCTTAAAAATCGATTTCGGTCCCGAAATACGGTATGGATGACAAAATGGCCCGGAAAAGCCCCTAAACGTCAAAATTTGGTGTCGAAAAAAAAAACAATGGCACGAAGACCCATTGCCCATTGCCACTCTCGAAGGGCTATCTTTGGGCTTTCCGAAAAGGTATCACATGTCGAGTTTGGCCTCACGGTTTAAAAGTTATGGCGTTCCGAAGGTGATAAGTCATACGCAAAAAAAAAAAAAAAAAAAGAGGGATGCAACACGAGGACTTCCCGGGAGGTCACCCATCCTAGTACTACTCTCGCCCAAGCACGCTTAACTGCGGAGTTCTGATGGGATCCGGTGCATTAGTGCTGGTATGATCGCATCCGTTAGTATATGCAATGCAATCGCATTTATCCTTTTTGCGGACTCTAAGAATCATTCGCCGTGGGTCCCACCTGCTACGTGGGCCTCACCAGCTAGTCCTAAGGAGCTTCAAGACATGGAAAATATGCGCAAACAATGTCTTAAAAATCGATTTCGGTCCCGAAATACGGTATGGATGACAAAATGGCCCGGAAATGCCCCTAAACGTCAAAATTTGGTGTCGAAAAAAAAAACAATGGCACGAAGACCCATTGCCCATTGCCACTCTCGAAGGGCTATCTTTGGGCTTTCCGAAAAGGTATCACATGTCGAGTTTGGCCTCACGGTTTAAAAGTTATGGCGTTCCGAAGGTGATAAGTCATACGCAAAAAAAAAAAAAAAAAGAGGGATGCAACACGAGGACTTCCCGGGAGGTCACCCATCCTAGTACTACTCTCGCCCAAGCACGCTTAACTGCGGAGTTCTGATGGGATCCGGTGCATTAGTGCTGGTATGATCGCATCCGTTAGTATATGCAATGCAATCGCATTTATCCTTTTTGCGGACTCTAAGAATCATTCACCGTGGGTCCCACCTGCTACGTGGGCCTCACCAGCTAGTCCTAAGGAGCTTCAAGACATGGAAAATATGCGCAAACAATGTCTTAAAAATCGATTTCGGTCCCGAAATACGGTATGGATGACAAAATGGCCCGGAAAAGCCCCTAAACGTCAAAATTTGGTGTCAAAAAAAAAAACAATGGTACGAAGACCCATTGCCCATTGCCACTCTCGAAGGGCTATCTTTGGGCTTTCCGAAAAGGTATCACATGTCGAGTTTGGCCTCACGGTATCACATGATACTGGGCCAAACAAAACCCAATATAGCCTACGTAAAAACTTAGACCCAATACAACTATTTTTTTTTGCTCTCAATGACACAATGCAATTATGAATACCTAATTGAACCAAATAAATTGTTAATCTCATATAAACAAAAATATAAATCTAATGCAGATAAATATATTTGATATACAATACAATATTCTCTCTTTCTTTATTATCAAATCACGTTTTTTTTACCAAGTTAAGATTAAACAACATTTAATTCCTACAATAAAATAACTCAATATGATACAGAATTTAGATTTAAAATTTATCATATACTATTATTTAATTCTAGAAACAAAATATACACCCATCGTCAAATGAAAAATATAACATTATATCCAAATAGTAATAAAAATAAAATATTATGATATATTCCCTTTTATACTATACTATTACACTCTTATTTCTTATTTTTTTAAACAAAATATACAATTTAATTCATAAAAATATTAAATCCCGTGCTGTATAGCACAGGCCATGATCTAGTTGTAAACATTAGAGAGTAAGATGAAACGGGAGGAAAAGAAAAGTGATAATTAGAGTAAAAAGAGAGTAAAAATAAATAAAAGAGTTTAGAAGGATTTGTAGAGTAAGTGAGAGCAATTGAGAGTAACTAAAATGGTTGATAAAAATATAATATTTTATTAATTAAAAAGAAAATTATAAATTATATTATATATATATATATTACATCAACTAATTTTTTAAAAAAATATTAAATTAACATGAAATTTTAAATTTGAGACCTTTAATCTCCAACTTTAAAAATATCGATTAAATCATCAAGTTTTTGGTCGTTAAGTAGATAGACAGATTTTGTTTACGGTATTAACTAACTGTTAGAACTTCTTTCTGTTTACTTAACAACATGCCTCAAATGATCAAGTCAACGAAAATTCGCCATTTAATCAACTTTTTCAAAATTGGGATAAACGATTTATTTTTTCCTCGTAAGTTTTACATAGCACCACCACCACACATAATTCCAGCGTTGTTCTATTTTCACATAGACCAAAAATTCTAACTAATTTTTTTTTGTCAACCATACATTAATTAAAAAATAAATTCATGATTGGTTGCCCAATTAGGAGGAGAAGTATTTACAAAAGTAACTTCAGAAAATAAAAGTCTACAAGAACGGGCTAAGCAGTCCGCCTTAACATTACATAAACGAAAAATAAGAGAAAGAGAGAAGATAGAAAAAGAGACACAGAGCAATCCAAAATCATCTAGCAGATTGGAGAAAGCGGGTCATTCTTCAAGTAATTTTACCATCGACACTAACTCTGAACAATCTGTTTCAAACGCCTAACAATCAATCCTTTTTTAAAGGATATTCTTCATAGTCCAAATTAAAACTTCCATCTCCGAGTGAAGGAGGGAGGGACACCTCCGAAGACACTTTGCACCAAGCAGTATCGTTTGATCAATTCTTTGAAAAGAAAACACCACCATCTTAAACCCATAGTTGGATTCGAAGATTTTCATGAGCCATCAATCTGACATCTTATAGATTGAATTGGGACTTCCAAACTTTTCGTACTAGTGCCAGTTTTGATCTGTTCCAATTGAGCTTCTTCCCACATTAATTATTCAGTCAAAGCGTGATTTAAAATATCTATGGGTTCAAATTATATTCTTTTGAAAACCTTTTCATTCCTATCTTTCTATATGAACCACAACGTATCCCTAGATGTGCTAATTTTGAAGTAACTGCTAAGGATCCCCCATTTCTAAAAATAACAGAATGATAGAACAAAATTTCTCATAAAAATAGGGACAAGACAAAATTAATTCGTTTTTTATATTTTAATGACTATACTAGATTTTAACCCGTGGTACACCGCGAGACGATTTTTTTTTTGAAATTAGTGATTTTTAAAATTTAATGGTTATATATTATATAAAAAAATTTGTAGATTGTATCATTTTATATAACATTTATATTTTATAGTTTACAATTGTTATTAAGTAACTGTATACCACAAAACTTTTTGTTTTATACAATTTAATTTAATCAGGATCATTCGATATGTCTAATATTGGTGGTATTAAAAAAGGAAAAAATCATATTTTTAACCTTCAAAGTGTAAGTGGGTAGCACTTTAAACCTCGAAAGAATTCTACTAGCACTATAAACCACCAAGATAATTTTACTAACACTTTAAACCTCTAAAAGGAACGCCTCCGAGGCTGGCCTGACCGACGAGTGTCCCCCTCGCAAAACCTTCTGCTGGACGAGGGATGACCCAGATCATCCTGACCAATTCTCCTTCCAGTATGTTGGAGATAAATACCTGATGAGGGATTAGGAGGCCACCAGCCGTCTCTGGTGTAATATGACCCTTCATGGGGCGCGGACGATCTCGGATCCGGATGAGCTAATCTTCAGCGAAGAGTATAAGAAGTTTGCCCGCTCCTCCTTCGAGGTATTATTGTTGCTTTATCACTCACGGTTTTATAGACTCTTTCTTTTAGTTGCAATCAGACTTACACTGCGGCCTCTATGTTTCAGACCAACGCGCTGGCTAATGACCTGCTCGCTTGGTATGACCGGAAACATAAGCTGAAGTACGCGGACAGGGACAATTTTAGGCTACTGAGCTCGGTCTTTGAGCGAGAGAAGCGCGACCACGAGGAGTCTGAAACCCACTCGGCTGAAGTCGCCTCTCTTAAGGATGAGGTCGCCAGAATTGGTAAGCGCGAGGCTGAACTTACAGGGGAGGTTGCCAAGCTTGGAGATCGGGAGATTTCGCTCATGGGAGAGGTCGCCAAATTAGAAGCTGACGTGGCATTCTCCAGAGACCACGATGAGAGGGAGCTGACCCGGTTGCGAAACGACCGATTTGCCAAGGTCAGCCGCATCACCCAGAAGGCTCAGGCTCGCCTTGGCAAGGTCAAGAGCTATATAAAGGAGCAAGAGCATATTGTGCAGCCCAAAATGGACGCCTTGAATCCGTCTAAGGGCGCTCAGGAGATTGTAGCAGTCCTCGTCAGCCGAGGTGCCGTTGTTTCGGAATCTGAGCTAGAGAATCTGGCCAAAGAAGCCAGGATTACCGAAGAGGAGGTTGATGCGCTGAATGCTATTGAGCTCTCAACATGTCTCCTGATCAGCTCGGTTTCGGGCTTACTCGGCTATCTTCTCAGGTCATTCCTGTTACAAATCAGCATGACTCAAACTCCGAACTCCTTAGCCGAAGCGACATTCGACATGTCACTGTTGAGGAGCGAGACCCCGAAGATTAGCGAACTTCGCTCCTTCTTATCTTGTAGCTTTGTTTTTCCTTTTGTTGTACTTATTTTTTTGAACCCTTTTTGCTTCTAAACCGTGGACACTTTTTTGGGACGGTCTGTCTTTGAACTCGTATCCAACTGTGGGCCCACTTTTGGGATGGTTTTTAAATTTAATTTTAATCTGCACATTTAATGCTTGGTCAAAAATTTCTTTTTCTTTCATTCGAAGCGAAAAAGGAAATATTGGTATTAATGTTTTCTTTCTTGGAAAAGGAAAACAGGGAGTTTCTCTTTCTGCCTCGGAAAAGAGGATGGAATTAAATCTCTTCATTGAAAAGAAATTCGACCTTGCGGATATAAATACCACCCTTTGGGGTATCGTCGATATCATCAAAAATTTAAAACATCTTTTTCTTGGTTTAAAGAATGGAAAGCTTTGGCTCCTCCTTCGAGGCTAATCATAGCGTCCCGACCTTCTCCAATGCTGAGACGATTGAACGGGGAATGCCCTTTTTTAATAACGTTCGTGTTCCATGGACTTTCTTGTCTCAGTTGGACCCGGAATCAATGTAGCAGGCGGAAGGATTTCATTCATGCGTCGTGAGTCGTCATAAAAAGTACCGCGAACTGTTGATCTTCCACGAGGATCGTCGATCCGATCCTTTTCATAAGCTTAGTTTGCTAGAGTCTCATCCACGAGATTGGTTAAAGAACGGCTTCCAACAGTTAGCCCCTATGCCAGATGCTCTCGCATCTTATTGCCAAGATTGTGCACAAGCTGCTTGTTCTGTTTTGAGGGCAAGGCAGCCAGGTCTCGTTGCAGACGGAGATTTTATTCCGAGTTCGCCCGATGTTTTACCTTGGTCCATCTGCTTCTAAGGCTGAATCAACCAAGTCGCAGAATTATGTCAACCTGGTATGAATCGTCAATCTATGACCACTTCGTCTTCTAACTGTTCCCAATTTATTAATCTATGTTTTTGTATCTTCAGATCGGACTCAAGCATCAAGATCAATGCCGCGAACTTCAATATTTTCGTATCAAGAAGCGTAAGGTGGACGATCGCCTGGAAGAACTTGAGGCCGAAGTTGCCAGGTTGAGAGCCAAGCGAAGGAGGGTCATCGTTCGTCTGGATGAGATCGAGCAAACAACGAGGGCTTTGGAGATTGGCTCAGAGGATTGGGAGAAGGTCGGTCTTCAGCTGATATGGCCTATGCCAGATCGTCTTCTGAGAGATAACCGACCTGTCAGGAATCGGGCGATCTGAGTTTAGATTTCTTTTGAGCGTTTAGACTAGCTGTTTGATTTTATTGTTTTTGATTTTTGGATAAGACACCATTGTACTGATGACTTTAATTATCAATTTTATGAATAAAATGCCTTGAGATGGCGCAATTTTGTCAAATTATCAAGTTTATGATTTCCAAATTTTTGTTTATCGGAGTAGTTCAATTTTGATCCTCCTACGACCTTCGAGATCGGCTTTTTGGGTAGATTAGTCCTTTGCGAGATCGTCCCAAATTTTTTCTATCTAAGTTCGGGTTAGATGTTAAATGCGAGACTGAGCTCGGCTTTAATGAAATAAAGTGTTCGGCGTGTACTGGGCGTGAGACGTCTCTCGGCTTATGCCCAGTAGTCCTATGTATGATTTAAAGAGGGATTTCTGGGCTCTGTTTCAAAAATAAGTGAGGCGGACTCAGCATATTATCTGAGGGGCGAGATGTTGGGCTCGGCTTACTCCCCGTAGAGCATCTGCTCGGCAGATCGCGAAATGCAGGGTTCGGCTTATATTTATGTCCGAACCAAAGCTTAAGTGGGAGAAACTGGTCTCGGCTATCCCTTCTAGAAAAATTAAGTTTCTAGAAGGGCGTGGATTATTTCACCACTGCATTCATGTGAGACGCGCATCGAACGCCTTGCCAGGGCGCCGAGAATTGATCTTTGGTGATCTTAAAGCGAATTCCGTTTTGAGAATACAAACTTTAATTTTATTAAGTATTATAGCTGCGTCCTTGCGAAGGACTGCCTACGTACCCAGTAAGGGATCAAGCCATTCGTAGTTCAAGTTATAAGAGTTGAGATCGGGTAATCAATCTGTTTTTTTTTTTCTTTAATAGTAGTACTTCTTCAGGTGGGTTGCGTTCCAGGGATTCTGGATTTCTTTGAGTCCCATAGTCATGAGCTGGTAGACTCCGGGGTGGACCACTTTTGAGATCAAGTATGGTCCTTCCCAGCGAGCTCCGAGCTTCCCCGCATTTTTCTCCTTTGTATTGTGGAAGACTTCGCGAAGGACGAGGTCGCCTACATTGAAGCAGCGCTCTTTGACGTTCTGATTGTAGTATTTTGCAGCCGCGTTTTGATAATTCTGGATCCGAATTAGGGCTTGATCTCGAAGTTCTTCGACGAAGTCGTTGTGATGCCTTAGTAGCTGGTTGTTAAGAGTAGGATCCTCTGCCATCATGCACCTTTGCAGGGTCGGAGTTCCTGCTTCACTTAGGGCCATTGCTTCGACTCCATAAGCCAAAGAAAATGGGGACTGTCCCGATGGTCGTCGTGGAGTAGTTCGGTATGACCAGAGCACACCGTCCAGTTCGGCAGCCCAATTTCCTTTCTTTGGACCTAGTCGTTTCTTGATTCCCTGTATGATGATCTTGTTTGTGGCTTCAACTTGCCCGTTGCCTTGTGGGTATATCGGTGTCGAGTTACTAAGGCGAATGTTCCACTTGGCGAGAAATCGCCTTGTGATGAGTGAGACGAACTGGGTCTCGTTATCTGTTACGATCTCGTAAGGTAGGCCGAGCCGGCATATGATGTTTTTCCAGATAAACGCGATGACCTGGGGCGATTTTATTTCGTGGTATGCCTCCGCTTCAACCCACTTAATAAAGTAGTCTGTTAGGACCAGCAAGAACTTCTTGGAGCGTGAAGGAGGTAATGGTCCTACAATGTCCATAGCCCACCGCATGAATGGGTATGGTGCTGTTACTGCGCTTAGCATTTCCGGGGAGACATTCTTCATTGGTCCGTGCCGTTGACATGGTTCGCATTTCGCCGCGTAGGCCTCGCAGTCCGCCAGCATGGTTGGCCAGTAGTGCCCATCTTTTTTGATTTTAAGAGCCAGAGCTCGCCCACCGGAATGATTTCCGTCACCTCCGTCATGTGTTTTTTCCATGATCATCGCGGCTTCCTTTGCGTCTACGCATGTGAGTAGTGCTTTAGTTGCGCTGCGTCGATATAGTTCGCCATCGTGGAGGACGTAGTTTGCAGCTTTAGTTTTCAGACGTCTTACTTCCCACCGATATACGGGTACTTCTCCGTCGGCTATGTAGAGTTTGATTTGATCTCTCCAGTCGGTTGGTTAAGGGTCTACTTCGATGTTCGGCTCGTCATCGATCTCCATAGCAGCTGGGGGGTCGACGATTACGCAGATCGGAGGCGGAAGATCGATGCTTGGTATGGCTACATTTTCGACTGGAATGGATCGCCTCAGACCAGGATCTGTGTTCGAAGCTAAGGCAGCTAGGGCGTATATTGAGATGTTATCACTTCGAGGTATCTTTGTCAACTCGAAGTTGTCAAACTGCTTGGTTAGATCTTGGACCAAAGTGAGATAGCCCCGCATCCGCTCGTTCTTGGCTTCGAATTCTCCGCTGAACTGACTTACCACCAACTGTGAATCGCTGAAAGCTTTGACTCGCTTAGCCCCTATTCCTTTTGCGAGGCGCAATCCCGCTATCAAGGCTTCGTATTCCGTTTTGTTGTTGGAGGCCTTGAACTGGATTCGGAGTGATTGCTCGAGCACTTCTCTGGTGGGAGATTGGAGCAAGATACCGAGGCCGGATCCTTGTGATGATGAGGAACCGTCGGCGTAGAGTATCCAGTTCTCCTTAGGGACATCGTCAATCACATCCGGGGAGAGTTCTGTCATGAAGTCAGCCAGTACTTGTGACTTGAGGCTTGGTCTTGACCGATACTCCACGTCGTACTCACTGAGCTCTATCGCCCACTGAGCTCGATCGCCCACTTCGCTATTCGCCCAGATTGATTTGGGATGTGTAGCACAGTCCGAAGTGGCTGGTCGGTATAGACCACTACGGAATGCGATTGGAAATATGGTCGAAGCTTTCGAGCAGCTGTTATGACTGTTAAGGCCAGTTTCTCCAGCGTGGGATACCTTGTTTCGGCGTCATTTAGGGCTTTGCTGGTGTAGAAGATCGGTTTTTTGATGCCGCAATCGTTTTTTACCAGTACCCCACTCACCGCCGAACCTGACACCGAAACATAAAGGTATAGTGTCTCTCCTTCTTCTGGTTTAGCTAAGATCGCCCCACTCGTCAGATATTCTTTGAGTTCCTGGAAGGCGAGCTCGCATTTTTCATCCCAATGGAAATCGTTGTTCCCACGGAGGATCTTATAAAAAGGGAGACACCTATCCGTTGATCTGGCGATAAAGCGGTTGAGAGCTGCAATGCGACCTGTTAGGCGTTGGACTTCTCTTTTGTTCTGGGGAGAAGGGAGTTCGAGTATTGCGTTGATCTGCTTCGGGTTCGCCTCGATTCCCCTCTCTGTGACTATGTATCCCAAGAATTCGCCAGAAGTTACGCCGAAAGTGCACTTGGTAGGATTCAGCTTCATTCGATATTTGTCTAGAATGTCGAAATATTCGTTGAGGTGTTGGATGTGATCGCCAGCTTGTACCGATTTGACCAGCATGTCGTCGATGTAGACTTCCATCGTGACTCCTACCTGTTCGGCGAACATCTTGTTGACAAGACGCTGATAGGTCGCCCCAGCGTTCTTGAGCCCGAAAGGCATTACTCTATAGCAGTAGGTGCCTCGGTCGGTGATGAAGGCGGTCTTTTCGCAGTCGTCTTTATGCATCAGGATCTTATTATAGCCGGAGAAGGCATCCATGAAGGACAAGAGCTGATTCCCAGCGGTCGCTTCGACAAGGCGATCTATGTGTGGGAGAGGGTAGCTGTCTTTTGGGCAGGCTTTATTCGAGTCGGTATAGTCTACGCAGACTCGCCACTTCCCGTTCTTTTTCTTTACCACCACCGGGTTAGCTAACCATTCAGGGTACTGGACCTCCATGATAAGACCTGCTTTGAGTAGTCTTGTGACTTTGTCCTGAACGGCTTTTGTGCGATCAGGACCCAGCCTCCGACGTTTTTGGCAAACTGGCTTGAAGGTCGGGACCGTGTTGAGCCTGTGGCATGTTACTTTCGGTGCTATTCCGGTCATGTCTTTTGTGGACCAGGCGAACGTTGAAGATCTTGATTTCAGGAAATTGATGAATCATTTCTTTATCTCCCTTTCCAGCTCGCCCCCAATGTCTACGGTTCGGGACGGATTGGATTCGTCGATGTTGACCTGAATGATCTAACAACTTGGTGCTTTGATCAGATAGCGAGCTGGGCGGTCGAGTACGGCGGCACACTCTTCGTTCTGTAATTGCTATAAAGTGTCCAACTTTCGTTACTTCTTCTCTATGACATAGCAAGTTCGGGTGAAGATTCCAGTCGCGATTGGGAATTTCAAGCATAGGTGGTAAGTTGATGGAATAGCTCGCATGGAGTAAATCCATGGACTTCCCAAAATTGCGTTATAGATCGGTGTAGCATCAATGACGACAAACTTCGTCCTTTTGGTGATTCCACCTGCTTGGACTTGTAGTTTGATTTCGCCAATCGACATTTTTGCTTCTCCGTCATATCCCGTGAGAGGTCGAATCTTTGGTGTGATCTTTCTCTCTGAGATCCCCATTTTATCTAATGTTTGCAGGAACAGTAGATTCACCGAACTCCCAGTGTCGACTAACACTCGCTCCACGTCGAAGTCTTCCATAACGAGCTCGACTACCAGCGCGTCGTTATGAGGGTGTTGGATTCTCTTGGCGTCCTGAGGTGTGAAAGTGATGGGGTCTTGACTCTGCTGTTCATCTTCGGGCGCAGCTATGACGCTGCAGGCCTGTCGTGCTCTTTTCTTCAACGCTCGTACCGAGTCCTCTCCATCTGAGAGTCCGTCCAAAATTATGGAAATTCTTCCACGGGGTTGGTTTGGGGCTCGCTCTGGTTATTGACCCCGCAATCTTTTTGGGGGTCCCGGCAGTTCATTTTCGGGAACTCGGACCTCTTCTTCCCTGTGCTGGTTCGGCTGGTGGTTCTCAGGGGGCTGTAGATCTTCATCTTTCAGTTCACCCTGAGGTTATTTGAAGCCACCCCTACGTTTATTCATTCCTCCTTTGGGCTGGTAGATCGCCTCGACCTCACCTGACTTATATTTTCCTAGAAGGATGTTGAGGAGATGTTTACATTCCTCCGTGGAATGTCCTCCGAACTCGTGGAAGCCGCAGTATGAAGTCTTGGATCCCGAAGGTTTGGCCGGAGACGGAAGTCGATCCTCGGAATTTGTCGCGGCAAAGATCGTTCCTCTCTTAGCCGCCTTCGGATCATAGTATTGTCGCGGTTCCTGGTAGGTCTCGCGGGTCTTCTCCTTGGCTTTCGCTGGATGATGCTTCATTGCGAGTTTAGCATCCTCGTCCTCGAGGAAAGCATACCGGTAAGCTCGGTGCAAAACGTCATCCAGGTCTTTTGGCTCTCTAATTGCCAGGTCTTTGCATAACAGGGATCCTTGTAGTAATCCCTTCCTAAATGCAGCAACCGCGGCTTCATCCGAGATTGTGACTTTAGATAGTATTTCTTTTAATCGCCCCAAGTATGCACTCAGCGTTTCATCAGCCTTCTGGGTCATACTCCAGAGATCGGAACTTGAAGCGCCGGGTTGTATGAATACCCGATATTGCTTTAGGAAGGCAGTGCATAACTGGTTGAAGTTATCGATTGAGTTCGCCTCTAACTTGGAAAACCATGTCAGGGCGTTTCCCGTGAATCCTTCTACGAACAATTGACAGCAGCCGATATCACGTTGTTCGTCAGAGAAGTGAGCTTTGGCGATCGTGGTCATGAAGAAGGTCATGAAGTGTTTTGGGTCACTTCCTCCCTCGTATGTAGGGATCTTGAGTTTAACTTGAGGGATCCTCGTGCAAGTGATCCGATCTGTGAAAGGAGTCTTCTGCGTTTCAGCGATCATCCGGTCGATCTCCGGAGCCGAGCTGACAGCTTGATGGACTTGAAATCCGATCTCCTGTAGTCGGGCGTAGATATCCTCCAGATGCCCTCCTTGGTCTAGGACTGAGGATCCAGGGGGAAAGTGCCCTGGTGCCGGAGGACGCACCTGTTGTTCGTTGCGAACGTCTGGTTGGTGCGAACTCTGCGGCATCCTGGTGAGGCGATTCGACTGTGCATCGGTAAAATCGAAGCTGGTCGCGAGGACTCGCGGGACGATTGGTCTTGGCGGTGTTACCTCAGAATTAGTCTGTCACTGGATTCCACGAGCTAGCTCGTCCAGCCTCCGATTGGTTTCGATGATCGAATCTGCTAGGTCTTTTGTCGCGATTGCGAAGATTGTTTTGAGGTCGTCCACGGAGACCGTAGGTGCTGCGATGGCGGCGGGATTCGGCTCTTGGACGCGTTAATCCTCCGATTCTTTCGCACGTTGCTCTTCTTCGGTTGAGCGAGAGCCGTCTCCGTTAAAAGGATCCACCGGGATGGCGTTTGGTGGCAAGGAGCCACTGCTTTGTGGTAAAACAGAGCCGTCAATTTCTTGAACCATGTTTCTAGTGAAAGAATTCGATCAAGAACAGAGTTTCGAAGAGAGGTATTTGTCGTCCCCACAGACGGCGCCAATTGTTGATTCAGAAAATCACACAATGAATTTGTTTAAGGGAGGAAAACAAATTCAATTAACTCTCTTGCTATTAATGATGAAAGACTCGAATATATAGTGAATTTCATTGCTTAGAGACAACGCTAGGGTTTAGCTCCAGAACAATTAGGGTTTTTTGTGCAAAATTTCGGATCCCTTTAATAGAGGACAAACCCCTCTATTTATACATGTTTAGGGCGGTTTTAAGATAAGTTAAACTTTCTCCTTTTTAGGGCTTGGATCTTCTAACTTCCCTTTATCTTGTAGATTCCCCTTTATCCTTAAGGAAAATCTTCCTTCTTTCTTGAAAAGAAGTCGGTTTAGGCGATCTCCTGCCTTTGGGCCGAGCTCGCCAGGCGACCTCCCTTTTCAGCCCATTAACAGGCCTAACCAGGATTTCCCGGTTTAAATTGAATTCTCAATTTGATTCGTAATTCGTCCGGTTTAAGCCGGTATTGTCGGAGGTGCTAATTCCTGCACCAACACTATATATATATATATATATATATATATATATATATATATATATATATATATATATCCGTTTTAAAAATTTCGAATCCCAATATATGCAGAAAAAAATTGAGATTTTTTTTTAACTTTATGTATTATATGACGATTCATAACAGTAAAAAATGTTCAAACAAACATGATACGAGAATTGTATTTCTAAATCTTAACTAAATCTTCTAAATATCTATATTTTTAAATATGGGATATCCGGTTTATAATTTCGGATATGTTTTGACCCGATCTAAAAAAAAGATAAGAACTATTCGGTGTAAGATTTATGAAAGAAATTTCCAATCGGGTCGGGTACCAAATTGTCGGATAACAATTTAATCCACCCGCTAACAAATGTACTTTAAAAATTCTAGTATAGATCATAGTTTTTATGATAATATTTACATTTTATGTGGAAATATTTTTCGTAATTTTATTATATATTTATATAAAATAATTCTTATCAAAACTTTCACTTTAAATGAATGTTATGATTTTATTTTAAATTGATATGGATGATTAAATAAATAAACAATGCTTTCAAATGAAAATTTATATTATTTTAAAATAAAATATTCGAATATACAGTATTTATTTAAAATTTCTATAAAATATTAATTTTCTATAATACCATTTATTTACCTTTTATAAGCTTAACTAATTTGGTAAATCAATGATTTTCTTACCCTAAATATGCCCCCTCGCTCACCAGGTCATATACCTAGTTATTATTCAAACTTCAAACGAAATTGAACCTCATTTTTAATTGAAAATTCAAATATTCCTAAAATAGTAAATTTTCAACTTCTCCTCCGAAGTTTTGGTTAAACAGTTCATTCCAAGAAAAAAATCAATTGAAAATCAGCCAAATATCTCGCGATCACTTTTTTTTTCGTTTTTGTTTTATTTCCTCAAAAGCAGATTTGATTCTGTTTGTATGTCTTCCTTCTCTTTTGCATTCCTTTGTTTTCTTCTCATTGATTAGAACAAAACATTGGTTTTGAAAGAATGGGAAGCGAATCAATGAGCCACTTGTCTCTTAAGAAAAAACTCAAATCAAGGTTTTGCATCGCCGGATGTTTTCGTACGACCAATCACCACCACCACAACATCCCCGACGATCTGCCATCATCCCCGATGACTCCAGCCACCACCGAGAAATCTACACAAAGCCCACATGGTGGTGGAATTAAGACCAAATCACCAAGACTCACTAGGACGTTGTCCAAGTCACATGAAAAGTGCAAGAGTCTGATCCATCGAATGGGCGGTGGGGTTACCGGCGCTGGCGGCCACGGGAAGCATATTCGCCGCCATACTGCTGACTTTCATTATGATCCGTCGAGCTATGCGCTTAACTTTGATAAAGGAGATGAGGATGAAAATATCGACCGCTTTCCGCTCCGCAACTTCTCCGCTAGGCTGCCTCGTTCGCCGCCTTCTTCGGCCAAGGCCGCGACGGAGTCTTCGTACACGGTTCAAAACCTTTTGCGGTAATTAATGATTGAATCACATTTTTCAATCTAGCAAAATAATCTGATATTTTAGCAATTGTAAATACAAAAGTTGATTTGATATAAAAAAACTTCCTTGTTGAATGTTGATATAATAATAGTTGGACAGAGGTTATTATTTGACATGTGCATGCCAATGTCTTCGTTTCAATTTTTTTTGTTGACCATAATTTTGAGAAATATGAAAGAATAGTAGAAGTTTCATAATGAACTCTTGTTCCAGAACCAGAATAGACAATATATCCTTGAAAATGTAGTTGTTCATGGTCATGTGTTTTGTAGTTTATCGATGACTTAAGACTGGAATGTGTATATTGTAAAAAAGAATGCATGAATTATACCAAGAACTCTGTGCATGCCAAAAAGATCACTTCTTAAGTTGAAAAGAAGTAAATCGATCATAGATGAATAAAAGAACCACCAGATTGTGGGTGGAAGAGATACTAGACGAAAGATTGTTGTCATAGCCGAAACAATTCAATCCAAAAGTAGCTTAAGAAGACACAATAACGATTTGAAACCATTGATCGAGGAAAGCCATGAACCGAAAATCTCTGAAAAAGTGGCTGTAACATCCACTGCAGAGAAGATGAGCAACCTTACTCAAATATATCCACTACCACTAGAATTGCACTTATTGATGGTATTAGAGAAATAAGTAAATCAAATCCAATGAAACATCCTCACAAATCCATATGGAATAGGTAGAGGATTTCAATAAAAATTCATTTGTATCAGTGTCTGAGGTTCTCAAAACTTTTGATTGACCTCTCACACCTGCTGGATCCACTTTCTGTGTCTTCCCTGCATTCTTGCACTGCAAATCTGTACTCACCACAGCTTACCTTGTTCTAGTAGACGATGTCTGCTCCGCAACCTCCACTTACAGACTTACTAATAAGGGAGGGAACATTGTTGCCCTCATAGCGAACAAATTTCGGTTGAAGTTGTCTCACCAATTTTACGAATTCCACTTCATCTGGTTTGATTAAGGAGGCTCTCACAATTCTACTTCATTCTCTCTCGTATTTGCATCCACAATGCCCATAATCATAAATGGCATGAACGCAACAAAGTGAAAAATTCCACACTAAAAAACACCTGAAATCGTTTCTCTACCCTCATTGGGATTAACATTTGAAAATACTGGTTTGAAAATCCAGACCACAAACAGGATTACTCAAACCGCAAACAACAGTATATCCCAAATTACTTTCTCTGCAGATGATTACAACCCACTGGAAGGTTAGTTCCAGAGGACAAGTCAAACAACAACAACCTCAATATTTTGATTATAAGCTCTTCTCTATCTCAATCTTTAGCAACCACCAGAGTAGGATTAAATTACAATTTGATTTTCATATAGTAGAAGAAGCAGAAGCAGGATTGTAAATAGTGATTATAAACACAATTTGACACACATATATACGAATATACGATAATTAAGGCAGAGTTGGAGAAAGTGAAGGATTAGTGACCTTGAGCTCTCCACAGCCACTAATGTAAACCGTCTTGAGAGGTCTATTCCACAAAGATCTAGCATTTTGAGCTCTCTCATCTCCAAGAAACTCCGCAAAATCGTTAAACTGTTTAATATTCTCGGATGGCTTATACGTAGGAATCGAAGATATACTGGTCACCACATCTAATCCTACAAGAGAAACTCACCAAAATCACTACTCAATTCCAAGATTCCAAAAGAGTTCCCAAGAAAAGCTTATCTTTACCTTCAAGAACAGTTCCGAATACAATGTTACCGCCATCGAGCTGCGGGCACGGTGCAGGACCAGTAGTGATTAAGAATTCAACATTTCTATAATCAGGATCGAGTCTAGTGTCATCATCATCATCATTCTCAGATAAACAAAGAGAAACAACACCAGCACGAGCATGAGAAAGCAAAAAAGCTTTAGAATTAACAACGTCAGTGTTCCGAGGCAAATCTCTAAGTGAATATCCAACCTCCGCCGTATCTCGCCGTCCTCCTCCTTGTCTTCCGGCGAGAAAATACTGACCAGGGAAGATTTTGTGGACAGGAGTGTTTTTGTAAGAAGTAGAAGAAGAAGTACACATACGTTTGAAAGTTGAAACAGTGATGGGAACGTGACGGCCGTATAATCCGAGAACGACGCGGCCGAGAGGAGTTGAATCGGAGCAAGGTGTGGTGGAGGAGAGTGTGGCGGAGGGATCTGAGCGGAAGTAGGTGGGACAGAGGGAGAAGTCGAGGAAGACGCGATCGGTGATTGTGATGTCTGGGGAAGGTGGTTTAGGAGGTGGTGGAGGAGATACGGTGGCGATGGTGGTGGAGAGGAGGAGATTACGACGGGAGAGAATCGGAGGGATGAGGATTGATGATGATGCCATGTTGGATGATGATGATGATGATATCAATGTCTCTCTCTCTATATCTTTTTTTTTTCTTTTACTTGCTTTGTTTTGTTTCTATGATGTCGTTTTGGGTCTATTACCGGGTCGGTCGGGCTTGTGGTTTACTCTCTTTATTTAATTGTTTTCTTATTTACCCTTTTTTTTTGTTGTTGTCTCATGCATATAATATTTTAATTTCTTTTCCATCACATTACAATAGATTATTATACATAGACCTGGGATATAACCGAACCAACAAACCGAACCGAGATTTTGGTTTTTTGGTTTGGGTTCGGTTTGTTTGGCTAAACCGATTGTGAATCTAAACCGATATAACCGATTTCTAGGTTTTGCCTGAGAATCTTTACCAATTGAATTATTGACACTTAGTCAAATACTGGCTTGGCTTTTACTCAAATTATATGTGCTATACTCTTTGCTTTATCAAATGGTGGCTGGAAATCATATAGATTCATTAAGAGTATGTTATTGAGGAGTTGGCCGCAGAGTTTTGATTGCCAATGACATAGAGTAACTGAAAATGTTGATATAGAGGATATGTGGAGCAACTAAATTTCAAATAACTCTCTATATGTCTTACCATTTTGCATTGTAAATAACTTTCGATATGTTTTTGAATAGATTTCACATTTAAACAAAAGAGAATTGTTGATGTGGAGGAGGTATGTGGAGCAAGCATGATTAGACACAATTCATCAAATGTCGGGTTTGAGCATGATGATGATGAGAAAGATGTCACGAGCAACAAAAGGATGTCATTAAACAGTTTACCTAAATAAAACAAGTAGACGAACACATTTCTGATATCCTCTAGACCACTACAATTATTTCAGAGTAAGTTATAAAAAAAAGGGAAATTTATAAAAACAGGAACTTTTGATGAGGAACAATTCTTGGGTTCACCCCGACGGGTGAACCCAAATCATTCACCCCCTCTTTAATAAGCAATCAGAATCTGCCATGTCATATGATAAAAAAAATTAAAAAAATTAATATTATCAAAATAAAATAATTAAATTAAATCATTAAAAACCCACCCTTTTGTAAATCCAAACCGATATATAATTTCGTTTAATTACAAAATCTAAACCCTAATTCTCCTTTGTAAACCCAAACCACCATTTAAACTCATTTAATCGTAAAAAAACTAAACCCTAATCGTATTTTCTAAACCCAAACCGACATTTAACCTCGTTTAATTGTAAAATCTAAATCCGTTTATAAACTCAAACCGATATTTAACCTCGTTTAATCATCAAATCTAAACCTAATTGTACTTTCTAAACCCAAAATGATATTTAACCTCGTTTAATTGTAAAATGTAAATCCGTTTATAAACCCAAACCGATATTTAACCTCGTTTAATCATAAAATCTAAACTCTGACATTTTCTAATAAACCCAAACCGATACATAATTTTGTTTTAGTGGCAAATTAGATTTTATAATTAAATTAAAATTTTTTTTTATTATTATTAGGTGTCAAATTCTGATTGGCTGAAATAAAGGGGGTGAATGAACTGGGTTCACCCCTGGGGTGAACCCAAGTATTTTTCTTTGAGGAGAGAGATTCGGAAACAGGCATTGCTATAGTGAAAAAGGTACCATAGTGCACACAAACATCACTGTGTCTGACTATTTTGCCCTTCAACTTAATAAGCGAGATTTATTTTTTTCTTTCTTTCTTCTGGTACCAATGTGATGACATAAGCAGTGCCGGCTCTACCCATGTGCGGGGAGTGCTCATGCACAGGGTCCAAAAATTTTTTGTCTTTTTTTTTCCAACTAAATTTATTAAAATTAGGGTCCAAATTTTTTTTTTTATATATATACATAAGAAATTAGGGCCAATTATTTTTTTCAGCTCAAGGTTCTTAATTTTTTTGAGCCGGCCCTGGACATAAGCAACATAAGAAGCTTGTTTTGTTCATCAAATAAAAGCGAAGACAGTGTTTTTGTCCAAAGCTACATATTTGTTTTATCCACGATCTATGTATGTATTAGTAATATATTGTTGAAAGAAATGACTGTTTGAGAGATGATGGGAGAAGCTCTCCATTCATCTTCATCTATCCACGTCCATCTCCCCATGTTATCTGTATCTTTAGAAATTAGATGAAAGAAATGAAGTTATATATTGAATGAATCCAAGGGAAATCAATTTAACAATGCAGTGGTGTTCAAAACTATACCCTAAAACCAAGAGGGAAAAATGAACCCAAAGAAAACGAATTTAACGACGCGGTTGTATTCAAAACTATACCCTAAAGCCAAGGCAGATGACTAAACCCAAGGGAAACCAATTTAACTTTGTAGTTGTATTCAAAACTATACCCTAATGCCAAGGCAGATGACTAAACCCAAGAGAAACCAATTTAACTTTGTGGTGGTATTCAAAACTATACCCAAATACAAGACATATGAATGAACTCAAAACGAAACCAATTAAACTCGCAATCATAAAGTGAACATTGCCAAATATTATTTCCTTACCGTTAGACAAAGAGTTCCATTCCTCAGTGATTGTTGAATCTGAAACGAATGAGGAAGACCAGTTAAGAGAGCCAAGCAATGGAATCTTGCCTGTAAAACAGACTTCTTTGTCTTACTGAATTTGACAAACAAAGCCCAAATGAGTAAAAAGATATATTGAAATATTGAAAATTCGTGTGGACTATGTAATGAGTTTAGAGAAACATAAATAGTACCCCAAAATACGGAGACGGGAGGTGGAGAAGAGAGGAACTCCGGAGGAATCAAGGATAGATTTCAAGGAGGAAGAAGATTTACGGAGGATAAAGACGAGATTTTCGAAAGCATCGGTAAATCCGAGATCGCTGGTAGAAAGTACAAGAAGGTTATTGGAAGCGAGAGATCGATTGGTATTCGTCGGAGTACCTGTTCTCCCAAAAAGTGAAGCTTGCGCATGGAAGAGAGAGTAGCAGAATGACATCAGCGAGAGGAGGGCAATTCGGTCAATTCGCTGACTTTCGATGCCTAAATCATGAAAGCATTTGGAAAGTGCCGAAAAGCGAAAGGCAGTTGTGTTTTAATGCCTTATTTTTAAATAACTCTAAAAAAAAATAGATATCCAAAACAAGAAAAAATGATTGAATAACATATAATTGTGTTGATTTAGTGACATCCTTTTGTTGATCGTGACATAAACTTATCAATAAAATTAGTCTTGGTACTAGAAACTTTTATATTTTGTGTTTTGAGAACAAATATAATTACCTAGCATATCCCTAAGGCTTCGAGCTGAGTTGTAACCAAAATTAATCTGCTGTAAAATATCCCTTTTATAGTTCTAGTCTTCTAGACATGGTGTAGTTTATATTGTTCATGAGCAAAAAAATGAGTCTTTTTACCAAAAAAAAAAAAAATGAGTCTTGCAAAACTATGATCATATATTGTAACATGTAATTCAGTTCCTTCTTTGCTTCATGTTCTTGGATTAGTTTCCCATTTTCTTGCATTTCTTATTCGTAACAGCTCTATTTTTCGCCTCAATCTCCCTAACTTTACGCTTCCTGTAACACCATAACCAACACAAACACAACATTTCACTTAGCAAAGATTGAACACCGCAACATCCCAATTCTCAAACAAAAGTTTTTATTATTTGGGTAGATGATAATATATTATGGGGCCGATTGGTAACGACTTTTAATTATCGATGTAGAGATTTTGACTGTAAGAACTTTCGTTGTAGACATTTTTGCTTTAAAGACTTTGACTGTATAAATTTTATAACCGATTGGAAAAAACTGTGACTGTAAAAATTACAATTTAAAATAATTACCAAATATATAGGAAAATGAATCTTAATAGAACAAGAAAAAAAAATTAATTGTAAATAAACTGAAAATTTTCAAAAAAATAATTTATTTGTGAACGTTATGAGAGTTTACATGTATCTGTGAAAAGAAAAAGAAAAAAACTATAAACTTTTAATTTATTTATTTCTAAAGTCTCATTTACGTGACTTTAAAAAAAATTAAAACAAAGAATAAAAAATAAAAAAAGAGACTTTGAAGGCTTTAGAAATTTTTAAAACCAAAAAAGCTTGATTGGGGAAAATAGACTTTTAAAACTTTTAAACTTTTTTTAAAGTCTTAAAAGACTTTTTAAACTTTAAACTTTTTTTCTGTGTAAAATCTTCAATCTTGTTTAGATCTGTTTTTAGTTTTTCATCTGTCTCCCTCTGTTTGGGGCTCAGTTTCCGAGGATTAAAAGTCCCGCCGGCTAAGTTTCTAAGGGTTAAAGTCCCACTGGCGTTTATATTACAACATGTATTCCACCCTTGTATTTCACCTTTGGTTTCTATATCATAATTAATTCAGACGAAAAAAAGGAGTAAAAGAGATTATTCTAGGGTTTAATATTAGAGATTATATCGCCTTATCTTCTTCACTGTCACTTCTTCTCGTCCTGTTTGAGACTTTGACGCTATTTAGCTTTTATGTGAAGTCTCTCACGTTAACGTTAATCGTTTCGTTGCTCAACATTACCAAGTCACCACACCAACCTCTTGGACCCGAACGAACAAGTATGTGTATATCCTATTATAATAAATCACAAGTCACTTTCCAAATAACTGCAGCTCTCTCCATTTGACATCTGTCTTAAGTCTCAAATTCTACTCTTTTACTTTTCTTTTCCTTTTAAAACCAATTTATGACCAAAAAAAAAAAAAAAAAACTAAAAAACTGTTTTTCTTCCCCATGTCCCCACGATCTCTACAATATCCAAGCAAACGAAATACAAAATTGTAAAATCTCAAAACTGCAAATTATAATTGGTTATTTAACAATTGGAACAGCCATTCACATCTTTCAAGCATCTTCAACTTCTCCTTTAATTTTTTTAACAAAAATTCTCAATCACAAAAATCATCTACGAAAAAGTGTTCCATGTCGACAAAGGCTTCACCGTCATCGTCACCAAATAATTTTGCAGAAATGGAACCAGTTTTGCTACAAATTCGTAGAAGATAGGTAAGCAAACCCTTGAGAATAAGGATTCTAATTCTATTTCTTTTTTTTTCACAGCAATTCAATCTTCAACAACAAAAATTTAATAGATTTCAGCCGCTGTTGAATTTTTATGCAGATTCGTTCAAGAGACTACATCGAAGACGAGCATATATTAGCACTCCAAAATTCGTAGGCTTCAATAGTTTAGCGAGGAAAGGAGCAACATCTTTAAAAGAAATGCAGAAAATAAAGTATATTATCACTACAATTTTGTGTTTCAAAACATTTGCTGTAAAGATGGAAATGCCTAAATGATTTTTTGTGAAGTGAGGTTAAGATTAACTTATTTAAATTGATTCTTATTATTATGACTAAGCTTCTTACGGTCTTATTTTATTTGTTTCTTAGGAACAAAACAAAGCAATCTCAAGCCATTCAGTAAGTAGATGCTCCTAGGTCCCATTATTATATCTTCATTCTTACTTAAGGAATTCTAGAGGTGTCACAACAAGCGGGTGTTGAATCACCCAAAAAACAACTTACAATTATTACAACTCACTTTTCATTTTCATATTATACCAAATCAGATTAAAATTAATAAGCTTCCATAAAATGAACCACAAACCACTCTCATAGAAGGTTAGTTATTCAGACTTCATTCTGAATTATATATCAACACAACTCTACAATTTACATAGACATAGTTTGCTTTCCCATATTCATATATGCATTTGTATATAATAATCTCATTTTCTTTTTTTTCAGGTACAGTTTCCAGTTTTGAAAGATAGTAACTATTATATACGTGACACCGCAAGGTAACATGTCATAAAAATCTGTCGACAAGGTTCTTAGTCGGTAATTAAATGCTCGACAATCTATGTGAAAAAACCATTGTAAATATATATGTGAAAAATCTTTTTGACTCAATGTTTATACAAAATACTGTTACACAAATTTGTAACTAATTGCTAAAGAAAAAAAATACAATTTGCTAATCATTTGAGTAAAAAATAAATTGTTACACTGATTTGACCGCGCAAAGCGCGGGCTATTAAACTAGTATTTCTATAAATTCAAATCGTTCTTCTTTCACTTTTCTGTTTTGAGTAATATTTTAATGTAACATAGATTAGTAATAATAAGTTAATCTAATATTATGCAGTTTGATTGATTAGATGAATAATCTAAGTAGCACTGAAACGAATACGGAACTAAAAACGGGTACGAAAACGGAGACGAGAAATAGCAAAATAAAAATTATAGATACGGTAATGCATGGGTACTTCAATAAAGATATTAAAAATACCCTTAGATTGTAAATATAATTTTCAACATAAAAGAGTAATTCGATTTAATATCTTAAATAACATCAAAAATAAGCTAATTCTTGAGGAATTCTATTCAAAATCCGGATCATCTAATGAAAGGCTTTGAAATCACCTGTTACGGGTACGTCACAGTGAAGAGTTTCTTCGAACATCTTCCAATCTATCCCGGAAACTGGTATTTTTCTCTCGGTCATTGTCTCCGGAATGGGCACATTACTTATAGAAATTTGATTCAAAGTAGTTCCTGAAACGTTTAAACTTCAATCGGTTAGTAATAAGTATTTGACGTACCTTTATGTCGATATCTTCCAATCCACTCCGAATCATGACTTATTTTTCTCGACCGTTCTCTTCAAAACAGCTAGTTTCCTGATGAATTTCTCTTCTCAAGTCAATTGCACGAAGTTGGGATCGGTGGTATGGTGACAGCTCTTTTGGTGTTGCAATCGTCATATCTTCCAATCTAGTCTGATGTCGGGCACTTTTTTCTCGATCATATGCTCTGGAATAAGCATATTGCCGATGAATTTTGAATCCCGAGAGATTCTGATCATGTCGACTTTCGTCGTTCGGTATGGCTCGTATGGACTGAATAGTGATATCTCGCGAATGGCTCCTTCTTTAAAGATTCTGTCTCGATCATTACTCATGAAATATCCAATTTATCGGTAGATATTCAATCATAGATCATTTGATCGGACATAATTGTAGAACAAACGTGTAGGTATAATGCGGTACGATCGTGGGTCGGACGTGTCGCGGTACGAGACTGCGGGTCGATGGAACGATCGCGGTACGTACGTGGGACGGTGAATGGGTGAAGCTGCGGGATGACGAGCGGTACGGATGCGGGTCAATGCGGCGATGCTCGGACGTGGACCGGTCACAAGGGGTCGTGACCGGTCCGTGGCTTCACGGACACACCGGTTACTACGAGTGTGACCGCTCCGGCGTGTGGTGGTGGCACCGGTCACGGGGGGTCATGACCGGTCCTTCTTCTTTTTGATTTTCTGATTTTCTTCTTTTCTATTTTCTTTGTGTGGTTTTTATGAAAGACCTGAAATTGCAAATACGAAAAACACCAAAAGTAAAGTAAAACAAAACTAAAAAGGAACTGAAAAACTTATGAGTGGGTTGCCGCCCACTAAGCGCGCTTGTTTAACTTCGTTGGCTCGACGTTTGGGAAGCCGGCTAGGCTTGGTGGAAAGTAGCTTCGGGAATCGCCTTTCCTTTAGCATCGTCGATGTCTTGGTAGTCAGCTTCGGCTTCTATAACATGTTGTCCTTTAGCGGAAGTTTTAAAAACTTTAGCTTGGAGGAGAACTTCTTTAGTGTGCCGTATCATCTCTTGGATTTGATCCTTGCTCTCATTGCTAAGCTCCAGAAGAATAATTATATTTATCTTTGAAATTTGAGGCGGCTCGGGCGGTTTGGATTGCATCTTTAGGGTTCTATTACGAACTCCGCGGTTGCTTATCTCTTCTTTATTGATATCGGGACCAGCATGATCATCAAGTAGAGGACTTACTTGAGTAGGGCTTGTCTTAGAGATCATCGGATAAGAGATCTTCTTGTTGACGTTTGCAAAGATCGTCTTCTTGCGGTTATGGTCAATCACGGCACCAATGGTAGCAAGAAAGAGTCTTCCCAAAATAAGAGGTCTCTCGGTCTTCTTATCCATCTCCAAGATGTAGAAATCGGTAGGGATTATGCAATCTCCTACGACTAGTTGCAAGTCGCGAACTAATCCATCGGGAGTTTTTTGGGATGAGTCTCCAAAGACTAGGCTAAGGTTGGATGGAAACAAGTCTCGCAATCCAAGCTTCAAAGCAACACATCTTGACATCACATTAACATTAGCACCAGAATCACAAAGAGAGTTAGGGAATTTGATGCCTGTAATGGAGCAAGAGCAGACAAAACATCCTGGATCTTCGACTTTGATAAGTCTCCGTAATGGGTAGCGTTCGGGCTTGTCTTCAACAATGACTCGCGTCATACGAATCATGTCTTCATGAGAGTCAAAAAGCGGCACCAGGGGCTCGGCTTCATGGGTGTGGAGAGCTGGTACGGCTGAGATAGCATTGCAATATCCCTTAAGATTTTCTTTGGCTCTTCAAGAAAGTACACCGGTTTGTCGCTTAATGGCTTCAGAGGTTTGAGCGACTTGAGTCTCAAGTTTCTTCACATGTGTGGAAATACTTTCGAACTTTCCATTCAATTCACCATATACGTTCTCAATCTTCACGTTGATATCTCGGGAAGTCTTATGATGAGAAGCTTGAAGTTCTTGCATCATCATCTCGAGTTTACTTCCTTGAGAAGGCGCGGCTTGGATTGGTCTGGCTTGAAAGGGCACCTTGTTGTTGTTGTTGAAAGGAGCTCTCGGCTGGAAGTTGTTAGCACCATAGTTGGCGTTTTGAAAGCCATTTTGAAACAGCTTCCATTGCGGATAGCTTTGATCCTGAGTATTCTTCACATTCGGGTTCCTGTAAGAAAGGTTAGAAGTATTCCGAAAGTTGTTATTGAAGTTGTTGTTGTACCCTCGGTTTTGGTAGAATTCTTGGGTACCAACATAGTTTACTTCCTCTTCTTGGTTGAATGTATCATCGAACTCTTGGAAAGCCTCGGCGTTTCCATTACCAATCGTCTCACATGCATTCACGGCATGGTTTTGGTTCCTTAGAAGTTGATTCATCATTCCCTTCAGCTCGACAATTTGCTTTACGTCAGAGTCACTAGAACAGGTTATTCTATCAAAATCGGTGGAAGCATTACTGTTGCTTGCAGCAAGATTCTCTATCTGGTCTCGTCCTTCTTGAACGGTTTTGGTAGTGAAATCTCCTTTGCTCGCCGTATCTAGTGAAAGTTGAAACTTAGAATGTAATCCTCTATAGAATGTACTTAAGAGGTTACCTTCCGGGAAGCCATGGTGAGGACAATCGCGTTCGTAGTCCTTGAATCGTTTCCATGCTTCATAGAATGATTCAACAGGTCCTTGTTGGAATCCTTGCAGCTTGTTTCTTATAGAATTAGACCGTGACTTCGTGTAGAAGTGATTGAGAAAGGTTGACTTGCATCCTTCCCAATTGTTAATCGATCCAGGAGGTAAAGACATTAACCATCTATGAGCCTTGTCGGCTGAAGAGAAAGGAAAAAGCTTACACTTCAAAAAGTCTTCGGGTACTCCACAGGGTTGTGTTGTACTGCAGATTTCTTCGAAAAGATCGATGTGATCCATCTGATACTCCGTGTTTAAACCATGGAATTGGTTTTGCTTCACAAGACCAATGATTTGAGGTTTGATCTCATAGTCACGTCTTGGAGGGTTAGGTACTCGTATGGCAGCTCGATCTTGCGGGTATTGATTTGGTGCATCATAATCGGCTATCGTACGGTGTGGAGCGGCTCGTCTAAAAGGAGGAAGATAAGTGGCATGTCTTGCGGCAACATTAAGAGGATGTTGGGCATTGATGACATTAGCGGGCTGCGGAAGATTAACGTTGAGGTTGTCTCCCATGCCTTGAGGATTAGCTTCCGGAGGAGCTTGTTGATCACGATCTCGGCCATCTTGCCGGTCGAGTCTTTCTTCGGACTGTTCGTATATGGGGTTACCATCTTCATCGTGTAAGGGCTGTCAATGCACGCCTAGGGCTGGGACTTGTTGTCACGGATCAAGGTCTCTGTCTTGCGGGTTCCGTTGATCGGCCATCAATTGTTGTCTTTGAAGGTTCTAGATTTTGCGTTCTAGTCTTTCTATATCTTGGTATGGCGGCACACCTGAGTTTTGACTCCTTGTCATGCACTACAGATATCAAAAACATAAACTAAAAGGAAAAAAGAAGTTATCGAAGAAAAGTAAAAGTTAGAATGTAAACGTTAAACTCAAAGTATCTTAGATGAAATCTCTTATCGAATTTATTGGTAGCTTTTATCACTCCCCGACAACGGCACCAAAAAGCTTGATGTGTGCGGAAGTTCACTTCAATCTTTTACTGGAAAGACCACACGTTAAACTGCAAGTGCACAGTAATCAGAGTAGTATTTTAGGATCAATCCCACAGAGAGTGTAGCTACGGGTTATTGAATTCAAACAAAAAGATCTAGCTAAGACAAAACTAAACTTTGGGGGTTTGGTTTTGGGTTTCCTAATGATTAATGCAATGAAATAAGAAAGCAAATAAATGAAAGCTAAGAAAACTAATGCAACTAAACAAACGATCGGTTGTAAACTATTTGACTAAGGCGTTGGGTGTTCTGGGGTTTCTCCGGGTATCATGGTTCTCGACTAACTAGGGTTTAGATCTCTAGGGTTTCTATGTTTTCGTTCTAGTTCATAACTACGAAAGGCGAATGAACGAGTTATCCTAGGTTATAGAATAAGCCGGCATATCTCCCTATACTCCGTTACTCAACTAACGCAGGCAACGACGCATAGATCGACGCATTAGGGTTGGATTCGCTAAGTACTTTAACTCCTGTTACTCAACTTACGCAGACAATAATACGAAGGATTGGTAGCACTATGTCCGAGATTAGGTTTACCTGATTAGAGCTCCTAACCTCTTGGATCAGCGTTTGGTGATCAATCCAAACACATGCATTAAGTAAAAGATATCCCAAAAGAATCTAAGTATGAACGAAATATCGGATCTATTAACCTAATATGATTTGAACCATGAATCCCCTTTGAATCACCACATAAAACCCAATAAAGAAAACTACTCGCTCATGATGCTAAGAAACGACATGGAGATGAAGTAGAAAAGCATAATAAACGATTGAATAAAACAAAGGGGGTTCAAAGAAGATTTCTCTAGTGTCACAGAAGATACTTGTCTCCCCAAAAGTCTTGAAAGAAAGAGTATAAGAGAAAACTATGAAGAACAAAGGAGAGAGCTTCAAAAGACGACTTTTTGATGGCAAAAGAGCTTCGACGAGGTGGAGGTAGGGTTTCAACACTTTGTCTCGGTATTTATAGGCTTCGATTAGGTCAAGGGGCAAAATCGTCATTTCCCACGAATTAGGTTAAGTGATGTCTTGAGTTTCTGGGTCAGGGACGAATCAGGATGACCAGTGGGACGTGTGAAGGCAGGCCCGGGCACGAGCTCCACGACCGGGGGCGCCAGAAGGCTCCGGACCGGCTGCAAGGAAGTTTGGCCAGTTTGGGACATATCTTCACTCATCTGGGCATAACTTTTGAATGGCTGAATGGACTGCTTTGATTCTACTTCCAAGAAAATCTTGACTCTTCTAGCTTTCCACAGCCACCGAGTTCTCTTGATTTTCTTATCGGGAAGACCTCGAACAGACGGCATACTTCTAAGGTACAGAAACTGTCTTGAAACATAATTTGATCGACTTTTACTTCTTTTTTCTTGAAAACTCATAATTCATCCTTGAAGAATAAATACTTGGAAAAATTCTTGAAATCTCCAATATCTCTTGTTTTCTCTATGAAAAACCTAAATAAAAGGTAGTAAAAATGGGCTAAAATACGATGTTATCAAATATCAATTCATAACCAAGAAATTAACGATTCTATAATAACACTTCCTATTGGACATGTAGCCGACTAGTGCATGTTACCATGTCACTCCTAAGTAGTTAAAAAAAAAGTGAGCCTATATTATAATCGTTTCAAAACTGTTTTATAAAGAAACAAGAACAAGTGGAAACTAATTGAGATATCCACAGTCATTTAGCGCATTATTGTAAATTGATGAATTAATAATTGGGTTATGGACAACAATAGTTTAACTTTTTTGAAAATTTATGTTCAAATAATTTATACTTAGAATGAGTGTGGAATAGGGTAGGCTTGTCGGTCGGAGAAACAACAATCAAAATAATTTCACAATCGCACAACAGTGCTACTTCTTCTGCCTTCTTGAAAAGCCCTTTTTTTACGTTTTGAGTATTTGCTACTTCTCTCTTTTAGGCTTTCTAGTCTATTCAGTTTTATTTTCTTCCTTCCCATTTCTTCTACAACTATTTTTTTTCTTTTGTGTTCTCACCATATCCCCTTTATATAATAAGGTTTAGAGGAATTTTATCTTGGGGGTAATTAAAGATGAGACTAGAGAAGAATCTTCGTTAAATTAATGTGTTATTTAATAGCGCTATTATTATCTTTAAAAGTTCTAGATTTGGTTTCATAGATTTTAATTGATGTCATTAGTATTCCACAAGACAAACAATGATTTGTTTTTTGCTTGACACCCAAGTATAAAGTACTCTTAATTGGTTATGCTCATTTTGACTTTTCTAAATTTAGTTGGATTAAAATACACATAGCAAACAATTAATTATTCATAACATTATATGATTATGTAGCATAAATAAAATAATCATAATTAGTGTGACACTACGATGATATATCATTAAACTATAACTATTTTTCTAAATATTTATTCATAAATAATAATCAGATTACCTTCCATTTTTATTGGTTGACTATAAAAACAGTGAAATTAGAACTAAATCTAAACAAATTTAGATGATAATTACCCCTAATTTACAAAGGCCTTTTGAAAATAAACTCCGTTTTTCAAAAAAAAAAAAAAATTTAATTTTTTTTTTATAAATTAAATTCCATAACATTTCAAATATTATAGCTTCTTCATTTTCTTTTATTTTTTAAATGAAGAAAAATCATTCTAAATAAAAAATGGAAAAATGAAATTCAAAATATTTAAATTCATTTTGAGGTTTTCACTTTATAAATAAGGTTTTTCTATTAAAGATTTTATATTTAAAGCAGAAGAACTAAACTTTGTTAGATATATAGCTCAGATAAACCACATACTCTGAAATAAATCTCTTAAAAAGAAGCATAAACTAAGCATAAACTAAGTCTCACCTACTATATATGTTCTTTCTAAATTCAGAATCAATATATCGTATAGTCATTTTAGAATACCTAATTTCTAAGATTTACCGCGACAACTTCACATATTAAATGATTAGTCCTTATATTCACTTAGTTTTTATTTTTTCTGCTATGTAGTTTACTATTTTATTTTTCTAACTCCCAATATATTATTATAGAAAATTTTCTTTAGTGACATCATTTTCTAGTAGAAATTTATTAATAACTTAGGAGCAACTCATTAGGAGATAAGAGGTACGAGATACTAGGGATTCATTAACGAATAAAATCTAAAATTTAATATTGAAAAATAGAAAACATGATTATAATGAAATTTTAATTAACGAGAACCTAATTATCATAAAATAATAGAATATATAAGCCCATATTTTCATTTAAATAACAACAAAAACATTATAACTTTTTAAAAAAAATTATTGTAGCCCCATCCGAAAAAAAAGAAACATCCTTTATCTTTTAACCGATTTTTGGCAGGAAATTAAACAAGTTAATATATGTAGTTTTCTTAGTTCCTTTATATTTGTTTTTTGCAAATAGACAAATCATACAATGTGCAACTCTCAAGAAAATAGTCCAGAAAATTTATAAATATTATTGCACTATAAATGGTAAGAAAAAAGAATTAACATATCACATGTGAATCATTTGAAAATAAAATAAAAAACATAACATAATTTCCTATGATCTTCAATCGGCAAAATGCAAATAAACTCTCCATTTTCAAATCATATAAGAGTTTTGCTGTTCTTCTCTGACCTTAACCTGAAACAAGATATAATTTTTTTGCAAAATTCCAATCACATTTGATTTTTAGAATAAATCTTATTTATTATATGTTAATATGCAATTACCCTTATGAAATTTCTGATATGCTTGAGAGAAGTAACTAAATAGTCTTCCATTATATTGAGTCCGTTCAAATCATTAACTTCATTCGGACTTTCCCAGTTTCTTATCAATTAATAAATAATAATAGTTTAAGTAAACTTAATAAAAAAAACTAAATTAATAAGATAATTAATATAAATTATTTATTGAATATTCATTAGTGATTTTCTTAATCATTACCTCAAAATTAACTTCTTCTCATCATACAATTCCTTGAGTTCTCTCCGTTTAGTGACCTTATTATCATCCTAAATTTCAATAACTATAGTATTAAATAAAAATTTATTAAAAGCAAACAATATATTTCTTCAAATATTTTTTAATAAATATTTTTGTACCTGAATCTCTTGACCTCTGCAATAAATATAGAAAAGTTAGATCTAGTATGTTGAATAATCTATAAGCATTTGTTTGAATATAAACAAAATTATACCTTTCAGGCGAAAATTGATCAATTCTAGGTGAAAATTGATCAATTTCAGGCAAAAATTGATCACTTTCAGACAAAAGTTGATCATTTTCATTGGTCACTTCTGGATTGTTTTGGTTCATCAATTTTATCAACGTCTATATATACATGTAAAAAATAAATAAATAAACAAAGGCTTCATACAAACCAAAAAGAGAAAATTTAATTGTTCGTTACTAGCTTCAGTTTTATTTTTGGTTTTACATTTTTATTCAAAACTAATAATATCAATCACATAAACTTAGATTTGAATATAACACCAATAAACTGTGAAAATAAGTATACATCTTTTATGCTTAAACTATTGTCAAAACCATATCTCCAACTAATCGTGAGAAAGATATTGGCAGTCAAACTTTAATTGATAAATGTAAAGTGATGAGTAAATCAAACCTTTATTGTGTAGGCTCTCCTGAATGCATACATAAAATACCAAAGTCAGCCAATGTATAAAACAAAACTATGCCAATGTACTTATC